AACACTAGACCTCTCTTACTTACACACTTACTACTACACGTTGTCTCACGTATAATACTTTCTTACTGTGTTAGTATATGCCGTGCTTGGTTTGGACTGCATCGGTTTGACCCTGCTGTCCAAAGATTGGCATTGAAGGATTTATTTAATATTTAATATTGATTTAACCCGTGACCTACCCGACCCCACTATGACTCGACCTAACTGTACTGTCTTTTGTTTTCGAACGTCTACGCAGATATCTTTATCCAAAGACCCAAATTTGGGTTTCCAATTGATGATAATCAGGTTTTATTTTTTACCCACAATATTGTCGTTGTATGTAACGCGCTAGTGTATTACAAAAAAACGATAAAGTGTATAAACAACACACGGTTTGTAATATGTTATTGCGCATATTTACCATAAATTCGTATGACAGCTTTTTACAAAATAAAAATGAGTACCGCGATGCCCTGACCCAATTGTGCTGGCTTTTTACACTCAATATTATTGCAATAGAAAAAGCCAAACCGAACGACTTCCAGCCGACTTTGTCCTTGAAGTTGTTTATGCCTTTATCGACGAAAAATACTTTAAATATAAAACAAAGAAAATGTCTTAGCCCAAAACTTTACCGATCCGGTTCAACGGTAATATTTGTTCTTTGACGTGCCTCTACATGAAATGAAGGTACGCTCAAATAATTTTGCACCTGGTAAAAAAAAAAACGAAAGCGACTGTAATGTAGTTTAACTTTTGTTTCAAATCAACTTTTAATAATACAAACTAATTAAAACAAAATACTTCAAAAACATACAAATTAAGATCTAAATGTCCGGTAAAGATCTAGTACCGAGGTTGTAAGCGAGTTGGTTCGGATAACCATTGGGTTTAGAGTAGAACCTTGCATAGAACATTGTGGAAGTTTCGTGAACTCTTTTGGCGTTTAAGTCTGCAAAATTATTTCGATTAATACAAACGTTAATACTTATTTATAAAAAATGTAAAAAAAAAACAACCTATCTAATTAAATAGTTAAAAATAGTCGTTAAAATGCTTTACAATTATTGTAGAAATAACATTTGAAAAAAAAAAAAAATGTTTAAGCGCTACGGCCCTTTGAAATGATATTATAAACTTCAATCGTATTCTATTTTACTCGAAAAAACCGAAAAAAACTTCACATGCATATCTATTATATTTATTATACGGGTTGCTATAAGAGATTACAAAATCACCCCTCCTCTAAATCCTCTTACCGAAGGGGGAAGAATTACGATCATCTTGAAATAACATTGTATTACAAAAAAAAAAACAAAATGATCGACATAGGTTGTTCTTTTATTATTACTCTAGAAAATCGTCAATAAGTCGGGTTGGCCGTGAATTTCTTAAGACCTTGAATTTTTCGATTCGTATATTATTTTCATTTGTGTAAACGGTGGAAATGGAAACGCACATGGAATCACCCAAGTGTTTTTCTGTGGTAAAAAAATCGTGTTTTTGAGTTGGCTCTTAGGCGAGAATTCGATAAATAACACTGGCGTGGAAAATCATGTTCTAAAATCTTTGTTCACTTTTGAAACACATGTGCCAGTGTGCGAAATCATAAAAAAAATCCTCCCTCTCTAAGAATTAAAATAATTTATACACCTACCCCCATGGTCTTATCATTAATGACTTATTGGTTCGCATTGGCCTAAAACGAGACCCCTGATTTGTTAAAAGTTTTCCAACATCTTAATGGACTACAACTAAAACATGCTTTATATTATTTTTATTATTAGTATTTGCGTTAATGATTTATTTATAAAATGGTCGATGAAATAAATGTCTGAACATTTTTAATAACTTATTATTAAATGATAAAAATTAACCTAGAGGTGGCCAACAATTAATAATAAAAATAATTGACGATTAATTAGTAGAATTAATGTTTTTTTATCGTACACTTTAAATCCCTTAATGATAAGCTAAGTTATAATTAACTGATACATTTATAATGACATTCGTAATTACGTTCAATATTAAATACATTTAGAAATTACTCTATTTTTATCTGTTCAGTTCATCAGTTTATCCATCAATTATGTTTGGTCAATATTTGTAGTGATTATTGTTCCTTTATGGTAAAATTAAAAAAAAAAAAAGGCTGTTGGTTAAATGGGCAATATAATTATTTCATATTTATGCCATTTGTAGTATGTTGTACATTATCTGTTATTATGTAGAACAGAAACACATTATTGTAGATAATATTTAAATTTTATGTTCAAGTTTTATGTTTGAAACTAAATTAAAAATCAGATAAACTATTGTTCGACTATACTTCACTAATCAAACAAGTTTTGTTTTAACTAATTATTAAATAGCGTCAACGTAAAGGTTATTTACTAGGCGATAATTATTTATTTGCTTAAAATATTGCTTGGCCAAATACTTTTTTTGTAAAACTAATTATAGAGATTCACAATAATTAATGTTTGGAATACAGTTTGCTTAGATACATGTAAAACAAGTCATTACATGTATCTAAAATGTTTAATTATGAGATCAAACACAATGTTACATTTAATACAAATATGTTGAAAAATATTCATATTTTATACCAAACATATTCTCGCCTACTGGTTATAGTTTACACAAGTAATAACATATAGGTTTTAGAGTAATTTATAATTCAGATAAAATATATAAACAAGCATGAAGAATAGTATAAAGCTAATTTTTCAGTAAATTCAATTTATAAAATTTAAGTCTATACTATCATTAAAATTATAAGAGCCTACTCGAAGTTTGAACATAAACTTTGTATCATATTGAGTAACCAACACATTTTCTAGCACAGAAAAAACAGCTATTCTAATACCAAAAATAATTTTGTAACCAAACGTAGTATAAAACATGATGTTAAACCTAGATATGAGGCAACAAGTTAGTTATTTTTAAATTACTAGAATAGTGTACTTATTAAATACATGAAGAAATACTCAAAAAAAATATCCTTTCATGGTAAAATCAGTGGTGTGCATACTATTTTCAAATAAATATAAAAAAAAATTGAGTAAAACAAAAAAGTAAATCTGGATTTAAAAAAAAAACATCAGACAAATTACTTGAGATTGGGTGAACAATTGGCGAGTGGTTGTCACTTTTGTTGTATTTACATATTTGTTGTGAGTTTGGCATTGGCGTAATGTGGCTGGCATTTTTTTGGGTTAGGGTCGTTAGCATTTCTATTGTCACCGTACATTTAGTATACATTCAGTAATTTATTATAAAGACAAGAAAAGTAGGTAGGCCGTTGATGTACAAGAGGTTAATTTGTTTGGGTGTGCGTCTGATTTGCGTGCCTCCCCATCATTGTCAGGGGTGTATGTGTAGTTGCATACCTCTGGTCCGTTAAGGCGCACACATATCTTGTTACATATATTTTTAAATTTTAATTGTGTTAATATTATAATAAGTGAATTATTAGGTTTCCAACCGATTTGTTGTATTTCATAAATTAATAATTAAATTTAATCATAATTAGTTCTTTGTTATAGTGAAATACAGAATTTGAGGTATTTTTAATTTTTTTGTTTTGGTTTGGCATTTATAAGATAATATTATCATTTTGTTGGTATTTTTTACAAATTCCGTGAGTATTGATAAGGAAAGAAACTTAAATGATGAAAATATATTTTCTTTAAAAATGTTGTGTGATTATTAAAGGTACTACCTACATACCAAATGTACAAATTATTATTATTATTGATTTAGTATTAAATAGGTGTACGAAATTTTGCTTATTTTAAAAAGAATCTTAATAGAGTTAAAAATTATCAAAAGACATTTGTCACAAAAAAATAATTTAACTATTTTGTTAAATAAGCCAACATATAATAAGATGTTAGTATAATGTTGTGGACCACCATTAGACACCATCTGGTTAGGAATAATAGTTAATACCATTTGAAGGAAATAAAAACTGGCAGTAGTTACCTACCATAAGAATAGGTTCTTTAGATCCTTAAACTGAAAGCTGATTTTATATTATATATTGCGAGGAGAAGGACATAATATAGTTCCAGACACAAAAATATAAATTAATATATAAAAGCCATTTAAATTTTCGTAGTCTTAGAATAAAAAAGTAAATTTACATATTCTATTAGAGTTAATTTTGCATTTTTCTCACTCAATGACTTGTAAGTATTTTTCCTGAAATAATTATATGAACATCATTGACTCGACATTAAATTTTTTACAAAAAATGAAATTAACTTATCTTCATATTGTAATTTACTTGTATTTATTGAAAACGTTACCAAGTCAAAATTTATCTCATTGTCCTAAAACTACAAAGAATGGAGATTAAAAAACATTTTAAAGTTAAGATTTACCTTTTGATATGAAATAAGATTCTTGGAACAAAAAGTTTATATCGTTCCAAGAGGTAAAAATAATACTTTTGATCAATAGATAAATATAAAATAATTCTAAATGAAGCATTTTTTAAAAATAATAATTGTCATTGATGTTGTTTTTCAATGCTATATATTGAGAAATTATTATACATTGTAGGTACTATAAATAATAAAAATTCGTTCTGTTGTAATATGATTTAATTTTGAAAATATACACTTGACAGTTTATATAGCCATATAATAATTATTATTGTTACAAAAAAATAGAACAAAAAAAAATCGCCCAGCATGGCTAATTATATAATATTAAGCATTTGCATTTAAAGTTCATAGCGGATAAATATACATTTATTTCATACAGACTATTCTGTTAATTTATACATGTAGCTTTATACTTGTGTAATAATAATTATTATAATTATATAGTTTGATATAAATTCCACATAGTTTTTTTAAAGTTGGTTTTTGAACATTTCTTTTAATCGCAGCATTTTAGAACTGGTACACAGAGTGTCTTACGGATATTGTTTATTTATTGTTATATAAGCATGGGCATTGGAGATTTTTAAATTCAGTTTTTCTTATAAATTAATCGATTATAAAGAATACTAACGTTTACATGTAATAATTACAAATGTTATTATTTTGTTTGTTTTTTTTTTTGAAAAATTAAAATTATAAATTCAGACTGATTCAATTTTGTTTTAGCTCTGCACACGCCCTAATATATTTTTTACAAATTGCATATATTTTAATTTTATTTTTACATTAAACACATACTTTTCAATTAAAATCATAGGTTAGCTTTTTTTGTTACACTTAAAAAAATTTCATTTATATTAAAATAAACATATAAAGTTTAAATCGTGTATTTTATAAAATGTATAAATAAACATAATAATATGTTGAATAATAATGATTTTCATATTACTATAGCTGTATCGTTATTTAAAATTTTTCTTTCGATTTTTTTGAGTAAGGGAAACTATTTGAAATTATTATTTATTAGTTTGTATTACCATTGGTCGGGTCTTTGCACATATTAGGTTTCGCGGTGGTCTTATCCACTTATGTACGGCGGATATAGAACAAAACAATTATTCAATATATTTTTTTTTGAAAGTAATGTCACTGAATTGAGTAACTAATCCGTCTAAATGAAGCTGGGTACGATTATTATAATTATGAAACATGATCAAGACTATTGGTTGTAATAATCCCAATAGTCGTCCGATTGGCCACCGCGTTCTTCCTCGGGCACCGTCGACCAGTCAATCGGCTGTTTGCCCATTTCTTCTAATATGTCGTTAATTTCCGCAAAATGTCCGTTAGATTCCGCAAAAGGCTGGCCCTTGAAATGTTTGTCTGCTGCCGCCGAAGGATGACGGCACGTTAGTGTTATATTATTGTGGCAGTGCCGTGACAAAATCCTTCCAAAATTATACTTGGCTTCGAAGCCCCACAGCAGAACGCCGAGGGGCCGGCGCTGCACATCCCGGGCGCGGACATAATTACATACTCTTACAACAATTTCCCTAGTGATGTTCATCCAGAGTTGTGTGTGCGATTCGTCACCCCGAGTAAGTCCAGTGTTCAACAAAAGTACACCTTGCCAAGCCCAATAGTCTAACGTCGTGCGGGACATGTCCAGATTTGGATCTTCGATCTGGTCTGTTACAGCGTCGAATATTCGCTTCAACACGTTATTGTCGGGAAGACTGTTTCCACAATGTAATGTGGAAAATGCCAACCCGTCGGACTCGAATTCGTTTTTCCTGCCCCGAAACATTGGCGGATACGGGTCTTGTCCGGTAATTATCACTTTGATTAGGTCAAGTGGTGTCCGATGCGTGAAAGACCAAATCTTTTTGGACGTGTTCGGACTGACCATATTAAACACGCCGGTCGTTTCGTCGAGTTCTCCCGTGTCCATCAGTTCTCTGTCGATTCGTGCGAGGTCGTTTTCTTTTGCAATAAACACTGGTTTCAAAATCCTATGATACCACCTCTGCTCGACGTCACTCGGATTTAGGAAAACCCTTGGATACTTCTCGGCAAAATACACCATATCTTTGTCGGATTGAGCCATCTAAGCGGAGCCAATGAAAAATCAACCTGTAACAATATGTAACCGTTTTATAACAAAATAATACCTAAACCAAACTGCAACGGCTCGACTCGTCGTGTAACATTAATTGTCGTCAGTGATCAAAGTGGATTAAAAGAAGTGGGGAATGTAACTAATCAGGTTAGTTCCTAAAATCCTAGTTTTCGTAAAAAAAAAAAACGAAATGGAATTTTTTTTAATCGTATAACTGTTTTATTTACGCCCAAATTATATGGCAGTTGATTTTTAAAATCCAAAAAGGGGTGGATAATTTTAAACAAAATTTGTGGGGGCATGGAAAATACTAACTAAATTAAATGGAACGATGGTTTCTTCGGTACCCTCTGCCCCGCTTCGACCATAGCTTGATGTACAATGTATAGATTATTATATGTTTGATACGATGGACGAAAGTGTTAATTTAATTATCGTACAAAAATCAATTATCCAACATAAAAATACAATTTTGTGACAGTTGCAAAATTAAAGTCATATAAATATTTGTTAAACATGTTATTGTTGAATATAATTTTATTGTTACACATTTAATGTATTATCGTTAAAAAACCACTTAAGCAATGCCGCCAAAGTAATCAAATTTAGCATTTGCAAAATATTACATTGTATTAATTTATAGTGATTGTACGCGTCAAGGTAACATATTATAATTAAATACATTATTTTAATGATTAAATATCAGCTTATGGTGGTTTGTAACAAAATTATATTAATTTTTTGGGCTACTAGAATTTTGAAACCGAAGATTTGTATAATATTTATTTAAGGAAATGTAATATATTTACAAAATCATAGCAAACGAAAGGATTGATGAAAAATGAAAATTTGAACGCCATCATTTTTTAATAAACGTTGTCTGAACATTAACGAAATTAAAAAAATATGTTCTTATTTAAAAAAAAAAAGAGATACATACTTGTTTTACAGATAAGCGATGAAGGTAAAAATTTTCATTGTATTGAAAAATAAAGTAAACTTTTACCTATAAGTACAGGAAAAAATTACTTTAAAAATATTCATATTTTCTGAGAAAATGAGTGTCTTACATCAGACGGATCACCCTGTAATATGTTGTACAACAATTAATAAATAAATAATAATTAAACAATTTATAAATATTAGTCCAATTATTAATATTCGACTTGCGTGTCTTTGAAATGATCGGCTATTATAATTATAATTTTATGTACTGCCCAGATTGGTTATCTATGGACCAGTCAATAACTTAGAAGATATTAGATTATTATTTTTTTTTTATATATGTTTATAATTGTTAGTCGAGACAAAATTAATATATTTTTTTTAAAATTATAACTCCGTTCCTTATATTATATTACAATCTTATAAACTTAAGTTTTTTAAATAATAACGTATATATTTGATTAACTTTTTCAATTAAGAATAATTTGCTGAATATTTTGACTGGTCGGTAATCAGTTTTGGATAATTAGTTTCAAAGTTATTTAAGTTTAAAATTTAAAACGGGCGTAAGGGTGGAGAGTAGAGATGTTTTTTTCTGGGCAACGCCTTTCCTCTCCCGTTATAAATTTTAAAATTGAATAACTTGAAAATTAATTATCCAAAACTGGTTATCGACCAGTCAAAATGTTCAGCAAATTGTTTTTAGTTTAAAATGTTAATAAAATATATACGTTATCATTTAAAATTCTTAAGTTCATACGTTTTTAACATATAAGGGATAGGGTTATATTTTTTTAAAAATATATTAAATTTGTCCCAACTAATAACTATAAAATTATAAAAAAAAAATAATTAAAAAAGTTAACCAATCACCCAGTAAAAAAAAATTATAATTATAATACTCGATCGATTTCAAAGATACGCAAGTCGAAAAAGATATTAATAATTGGACTAACATATATAAATTGTTTAATTATTATTTATTTATTAATTGTTGTACAATTTATTACAGGGTGATCCATCTGATGTCAGACACTCATTTTCTCAGGAAATATGAATATTTTGAAAATATTATAATATTTTTTTCCTGTACTTGTAGGTAATAGTTTACTTTATATTTCAATGCAATGAAAATGTTTACCTTCATCGTAAAACAAATATGAATCTCTTTTTTTTTTAATGAGAACATATTTTTTTATTTCCGTTAATACTCAGACAACGTTTATTAAAAAAATGTTGGCGTTCGAATTTTCATTTTTCATCAATTTGTTCGTTTGCTTTGAATTTGTAAATATATATCATTACCTTAAACAATTATTATTAAAAGTCTTCGGTTTTCGAAATTCCAGTATTCCATAAAATTCATATTTATGTTAGCATTTTGCGATAGGCGAGAATACCGATAGCCATTAAAATGTTTTGAGCTAATGATAGACAACATTTCAAACACAGTGACGGTGACAGTGCTTTTTATCAATGTTATTATTTAATTGGAAACTGTGCTACTGTTGTAAAAACCGAACAAATATTGATCTTAAATTTAAATAGCGAACGCAGAGATAAATGAAATTTAAAAATTTAAGCCCTAAATTTTTTTTAATTTTTTGGTCAACATATTTATGTAACTAAAAACATAGGGTTCCCGTTTTAAAAAAAAACAAGTCTAGTCAAGTTGTTTAGGCCGAACTAATAACATTTATAATAGTACAAAAATTAATAATTTTTATAAAAGGCTAATATCTTATAAAATATTGACTGGTTCATAGTTAGTAAAAAATCCTGTACTTTTAAGTATTGTTACGTACGCTGACCTACACCCACACACACATCTACACATATATTATAATAATGTGGTAAAGATAACAAGTATTAAGTATTTACAGTAGAATAAAGGCATGCGCCATTATGTCGGCTTTTGACAAAGTCCACACTGACAGCAACCGATAAGGTATGTACGGATGGCCATTTCGCACATCCGCTGACAACGTTATCTAAAAAACCCGCACTAACAAGTATATACAATACTTAATATAAGCTACAGTAGATAAAATAATATCACACAGTATATTATACCTATACCAGACGTCTGGACCGGTTGATTTTAAATTATTTTGATTAGTTTTTTTTGTTTATCTCAACCGCGGTGGTTCTAACGTTTATACTTAGTTTTTGTATTATTTTTGTCTGTTTGTGTGCGAATATATAGTGCACGGGACAACTATAGTGATATTATTATTATACTCGTCGCAATTGATCAGATCGTTGATCAAAAACGTGTCGTTGGACCAAAATAAAATAACAAACCTATGACAACGTTAAATTTGCCACATCCGGCGTCGCCGGATCCGGTGATACGCATCGTCGGTAAGGCAACATTCATTAGTCGCCACATGTTTGGCTTTTTATCGAAACATGGAAACAAATGGAAAGCAACAATGTTGGTCTATGTTACCTTAGTGTGGACCAGGCTTAATATTTAGTTTATTTTATAAAACAGTATATGTGTTTTTTTTTTAAATAAATTACTTATTTTTATTCAATAACAACAATTATTATTATAGATACATTTATATCTCGTTCTGCTAATAACACTTCACTCCACCAAAGTGAACCACCAAAAAAAACAACAAAAAATATTATTAGACGTCAGTATCATGAAAATTATTCAAACACAGTATATTCTTGGCCAGATGATGTACATGATCGTCGTATAAAACTCTATTCATCATTGCATTATTTATTTTACAATTATTAACTCTTTAATCTAATATTCTAGATTCTAGAATCAACATGGTAATAGTGTTATGAACATAACCTTCAGTTAACCTCTACACACCATTACACAAAACAACCAACTACACTAAGCATAATAATACCCATATTATAATAGCTCTCTGAGTCATACATTGGCATACCTATACGATAGATGACTAATAATTATTACAGAGCGCACCTGCATGGTTATCTGGCGTAGTGATTGAATTATATTACAAATATATATATATATCAATACTACTTTAGTCTGTTCCGCTTTGATAAGCTATTTGGGAAAAACATGTTATTGCCATTCTATAAGATTAGATTGCCAAAATAATACCAATTAAAATAATCACACGATGAGCGTTCGCTGTAGCATCCGCCCATCGGGTCAACACAATTCACACAATAACACATTACACAGATTAGCATAACCATATAAATAGGAGTAGGATCCAAGCCTATTCCAGACGAATTATTACACTCATGTTAAATACACTTATGTAGCTGTTGTCTACGCACTTTTACTATACAATAAATTTTATACTTATATTTTTGAAAAAGTCTTAAATTATTTTAAATCCATCTTCCTGAACTGGTTTCAAATTGAACAAACACGATACTTTTTGATCTTATACATCACCAAGCATCACAATAGAAATAAATAATCAAATCTATGGTTTGATATGCCACGATAATTGTGTAGAAGATTAGGTGTGCCGTGTTGTCGAAAAGGTTGAAAATCACTGATCGAAAGCCTTGTAATGATTAACGCGCGGTCTCAGAACATGTCGAAACGTGTCGAGACTTGTCAAAACAGGTCGTGTCGTATTTGTATAATATTATAAATGCCCCAAAATTACTATACATAAAAATTCAATTATTTAGCGCTCTAGCAAATTAATTATTTTGTATTAAACATATGTCTCCAGATTGGTATTATATTGTTATTTAATGTACTACACAATTTTGTCTGAAAACGTTGATTCGAATTGTTCCTATTTGAACAAAAATTAAGTTGTGATGCACTTTTTTGTAGTTGATCGATACACTTAATGAAAACCTTTTAAAAAAGTTTTGACTACAGGGTTTTAAGAAAATTGGTTATGTTTTTGCTCCACTATAGACGCACTTTAAGTCTAACTATTAGACCTTAAATCCTACAAACTACACCTAGCAAAAAGCAAAACAAATTTACCCCTCCTCGGGAAAGTGTGCTTATGATAATTTATATATTTTTATTTCATTGGTTTTTCACTGTATATTGGTAGTACTATATCTAATAAAGAATATTCAATACATATTTGGTGCTAATTTAAATATAAAAATAAAAAAAGTAGACACCGCCGTGGTTTAAGATTAACTATTATTAATAGAGGTATAATTCATGGGTAACTAATACATTTTTTCAACTATTCTCAATTATTTGTTTTATTTTGAAATTTTTGTATTATACACCGATTGCTATTAGCTGTAATTCAAACGCAAGTACCTACAATCTATATTATATTATAATAAAACACTTAACCGATTTACACCTTAAAAAAATCTGAACAATAGTCAAATATGGTCAATATAATTTCGAATAAAGTCTAAATATTTTAGCCGTTGGTGATGAAACATTGCTAACTAAAGAAAAAGGCGAAATCTATTTTTTTCAAGGACGAAGTACGAATATTACCACTTTTAAGCAATATATAAGTAGGTCACAAAGACAGGCCACGTCCATCCGACAATGACAATGTATATTACAAGCAGCCGTATGCACCATAAGTGTACGGTAGATGTAATGCACGTACAAAGCAAAATAATTGTATAATGTAGCAGTAGGATAAGCTAATAATAATGAGACAATTATTGTCTTTAACCATATTATTATTTTTATGTTTATAGTAATAATATACCTATTTAATTTTTTTTTATTGATATAGTAGTCTAGATAGCTTGTGGTGCGAGCAGTATAGATTTTCAAGGTGTTTTTTTTTTTAACAAACCGCCGGTAATGTATTGGAATAATAATTGCTGAACACTTATATAGTAATAATTATATGCACGCTATGCTTACCAATACAAATATTGTCGACTTGATTCGTATGGAATAGGTGAATTCTCGACGAGACTCTTTCGACGCTTACTACTATTATGTAGAAAATAAAAAAACCGAGTTTACAATTAAAACTTTTTAAATGTGAAAAATAATTTTGCTAAAAACTAATATGTTTATGAGGGTGCGTGAAATCGAACAGACCGCACGCCTAAGGTCCACTGACAATACTGCTGGAGCAATAAAAACATATTTACCGACACACTCACTCCCTGTGGCGTTGACCGTTCACTGTGACGCCTCGAGAAAAGTGGGAGTGCTATTGCCTTGGCTGGTAGCTACAATATTATATTGTAATAACGTGACTAAGTCGTTATAATATACTTTGTATAATAATAAAAAATAGAACATTTTAATTACATAAAATGAATATTATTAATATGTTTAACGTAATACTAGTTACATCCAAACATCGCTTCTGCAACAATGACCCTTTTCCCTTCCGTTTCTTTCCTATTTAAGTTGTAAAAGTCATAAATATAGGTATATTATTTAACAATAACAAATAGAATAACAGATAAAAGTAAATGCGAAAACAAGTTAATCAACATTGCCCTTTACACCCCCACATGTTGATGATCTAAGTACTAATGCTAATAATAATATGCAATATAGAATATATAGTGAAAAAATAATAAGATAACAACTAAATAATGTACTTTGCGGTTATTACATATTATAGTCATATCAAATTAGACAAAAAGAATGGAACTAATTCCGCGAAAGCTGAATTTTGGTACACAAACAGTCCATACCATACTGATCAACATACTACAAAAGTCCCCAAGCCTACCCCTTGTGCGTAGCCCTCCATCTCTTAAAAAGGGGTTGCGCTAACCCCTCACCGTTTCTTCTTATAACCCGATAACCGTTAGACTTATGGTTAAAGTGTAAAGGATAAAAATTAAAGGCCGTCGAATTTACCATATGCTAAGTTATATACTTTATTTGCTAAAACTATTGGTCATACGTAAGAATGACCAATTATACAAATTAAAGACCTTACAATTTTACATAGGATACAGATTTTTTTAATTATATATATACATTACTGTAAGCCCCAGCGTTGTTGATAACTGCGGCGGCACTATAACTGTACAGCTCATATCAGAAACTAGAATAATGAACATTTAATAAAATATACTTTAAATATTCACTGAAAGCTGCATTTTGGTACACATTTGATTTATACGTTTTTAATTAACATAATAAAATATGTCTTAACACATATTTGTAGCCTTTCGCCACTTGCAAGGGGGCGCGAGCCCCTATTGCCTCTATTCATTATAAATCGTTATCCGTTAGGCTGGAATGTACTGAGTCAAAATTGAAAAAAAATTACCTTTTCTATAGTTTTATGTTTTATGAAATTTAATATGGTAGCAATGTATTGTGATGTAAGAGACGAGCTTGTATAACGATAATTGCTTTTTCAGTATTAAATTTTAGCGGTTTGCTCTTTTATTTATACAACGTGTCGCTGTTATGGTTCCTGCTTCACACTTAGTAAAAATACCATATTATACAGGGTGTCCCACAAAGATAAGGCAATTGAAATAAATTTTGTTCTAGTGAATATTTTTGAGATTTTTTTTTTTTTTAATTATTTTTTACTTATATGTACCTATACATATATTTATTAATTTTGTAGATTTCGGTAGAATAAATTTCAGCTCCACTGGTATCGCCTTCGAAGAAAGTGTAAAAGAGTGGTTTCGCTATGGTAATCAGCGCTATACTAGGGAAAAGAACATTCAAAGCTAAACAAACTGTATCTTTATATGTACTACTATATATCATATACATGGTGAGTATAAAACTATTTATAACTTATTTTAGTTATAGTAATTTAAAAAATATTTAAGATTATGTATTTAACTGAGTAAATGTCTAATTTGACTTAATGCAGGAGTGTAATAATACATTTATATTTAAAAGATTCTTGTGGCAATTTATGTGTAGGAAAATTCAATGTATGTCTTGGTGTCATGAAACGATTATTATAATTTTGGAAAAAGGGCAAAAAGCCCGTCCGTTTTATTAATGATAGTGAAATATCTTCAGAACTTGAACATTTAAAATCATATCTCCCCAAAGAATTAAACAGACTACGTCGTTCTTTAGAAGAACTTGCGTATTGGAAGGCAGTAGAATTTAGTTCCTTTTTGGTTTATTCAGGCGCTATTATTTTAAAGGGAAATTACAAAAGTCATTATACAAACATTTTTAGTTGTTACATTGTGCTTTGCGACTACTTGTGTCAAACGAAACATGTATTACATATAATGAGTTAGCCAATACTTTACTATCAAGGTTCATGGGTCAATTCATATACCAAAATTTGTTAAAATACATGGCTGTGTAATAATTATATTGTATGCACTAAATCACATACTTGCACACAATTAAATAATGTAATTTTACATAATATAAGTTAAATATTCTATAATCAATTGTATGCACAAATAATAATACCGCATATAATTATTTATATATTATTTTGAATACAATATTTTTATAAACGGATATATTAAAATAAAACAGGACACATAACATATATTGAGTCATACCATATAATCATACGGTTGGGTGATTTTCCAAAGGATTTATTTCATACCTCTCCCCCCGCTAATGACGCATTTACTCCCTATATAAGACAATACGACAGTTGGCTGGACACATTTAGCGCATTTAAATTTGAAAATTGTTTACAAAATAATAAAAATACTTTAAAAAATGCTAAATATAGGGGATATTTAGCATTGATCAAGATGTTTATCATGGAATTTTAGAACAAAATGATATTGAAAATAATTTTTCGTACCGTGATCCTACTGTTACTTTATACGAATATAAAATATTAGAAAAATTGAATATAAGTACTGTTAATAATAAATATATATATGTTTGCTATAAAATAATGCCATTATTTGTGTTAAAAAAATTATTAGAAATGCCATTGGAAATATATATTTAGAATTAGATAAGTTTAATTTATTACCATTATTTGACTCGCCAGTGAATTTTAATGTATTTGGTGAATTCTATGTAGATATAACTAGTCAGAGCAATTCATTTCTAATTGACCTATTTAAAATTAATTATAAATGTTTATCAATATTTCAAATGATAAAGCTATAGTAATAACTTGCTTACATGATATTTAAAAATAAAACAGACTTATGTTTTGAGAAACTATTATTACTATTACTATTATTTGTAGTATAATTTTTAAAGATACTGCGCTTACTATTATTTATTTTTGTTGACGTTAAAAATATGTACATACATTAATAACTACAATATTTAATAAGTAAACACAGTATAGTAAATGTGATGTAGCTATATATTTTATACAGGTATTTTAGGTGGGTAATTTTTAATTATTTCTATATTTTATGCTACAACCTTTGTTAAGGACCCACCCTTATCAGGGCTAATAGATACATATATATATATATTACATTGTACAACTTATCAGGACTAACATATACATATATCTATATATTATATTATATAACTTCTCATTGTTAAATATTGCTAAATATGAATGTACCACACGTGCCGATTTCACATCAGACCCAAAAGGTCATTACAGCATCTTGCGAAAGCAGACAACTTGTAATTCTGTTCACAGTTGACCTCAACAACGAGGCCAACCACTAAAAGGAACTTAACGTTTTTGGCAACTACCGTGCGAATCTCACTTCGAAGCTAGCCAATTTCGACCATGCGAAGGCTGCACTCTCATGCCTCTACCCTTCCTCCACCGTTGACATAAGCGGATGTCATGGGCGAGCGAGGTCATCCACGCGCGGTCTTTCGATAATTGCGAGGATTCCCACGGCCATTCAGCGAGCGGACCAGCATATAAGGGAGAACTTCAGTCATAGCAGGGCAGATGTGCTGGGACCACCATACACTACACTTGAAGTTTCTACCTATCATCTTCTTTTGAAGTCTTAAGCGGCTTATAATTGTCTTAATCGTCATATTTTTGAAGCATACTGAACTTATGCTATTAACTGTTTGTCGTTGTACATGTTTTATAAGTATATTAAATTAAATGTTTGTGATTTACTCCGAAGTTATTCTATTAAATATCTAAAAACCTATCACCACGATTGTGACAAGACTCAAACATCCTGCAATACATACGTACAGGGCTACAGGGTTGTTACACTATGTCCTTTAATAATTAGGTTTCAAGATATATAATTTCTAATATTAGAGAGGATGTCTTTAGTACATCATCGTTGCCTCAAAAAACTCCTATGTGCCAATTTTACAATTTTGAGTTTTTAGGATCCCGTGTACAGAAAAAAATAAGCTATCATATGATAAAATCTCTAACGTGCTATCTCAATTGTACAATAAATGAAAAATAAAAAATTGAATTTCATATGTGTTACCCTACTGTATAATAAAACGTTTTACACGTTATAGTGTCTCCTTAACATTTAGGTTTTAGCACAAGTTTTTCGCGGCAACGACAATATGTGTCTGTAGAGAGATATATTTTCAGAATCGAGACTTTTACCATTTTCTGGTGTGCTTGTTATCATTTTTCTGGTGTGCTTGTTATCATTTTGTTAAGCGTAATTGCCGCACGAGGACATCACGGCGCGGCGGCCGGACCGGTCTGATGTTCGGTGTGAGCGCCGCCCACTAGATGTTCCTAACGTCAGACTCGTGCGGCAACACTTAGTATACAGACTACAGCTTACAGATATATTGTTATTTGAATAAAATCTCAACGAATTGCCCTTTTGATTTTAGTGATATATTACAGTAGGTATATAAGAACTAGATAAGATAGCAAAAAAAAACGTTATATTATTATACCGCGAGTACATAACAAGTTAATTAATTTAATCAATCATTCTCGGGCCAACACGTGATGTTTAATGACCTACAAAATTCTACTAATATTAAAATTAAATCATTGAAGAATTGCATTAGGTATCGTTTAATGAATGCTACAAACTTTTTATCGACCAACCATTTCATATGTGTATATATATATATTGTGTGATTGGTTTACTACTGCATCTATAAAAACATATTAGTATTTTTAAAAACACTTTTTTTTATTGATTTTAGTCAGCTCAAATACAATATGTTTTCCAACAATATTACTTCATCCATTATGTGTTATTACTTGATAACCTATGAACTTAAGATTTTTAAATGGTAATGTAAACATTTTTTTAACTTTTTTTAAATTAAGATAATTTTTGGAAAATATCATACGGTAGATGATTAATTTATTTTAAAGTTATTGAAGTTTAATATTTTAGGTAGAGAAGTAATGTGGAAAATAGTATTATTTAAGCGC